AGACTAAACAATTTATTGGTATCAGAGGAGGTGAAGCTGGTGCTTGCCAGGCTATGTTAAGTAGGCAAGGTAAATTCCAGCACTGACAGGAAAGGGTTTTTCCCCCAGTTATCTCTCCACTGACCTAGGTAAGCAACATTCAGCAAATCAGCAGCTCCTGAAGTAGGTGTCAGGTCTGAAAACCTGTAGCCATGGGCTCAGCACGTCCAGTCCTGGTTTGGGACAAAGGTGCCCAGGTATCTGCTCCACTGCAGTGCTCCCCATTTGCATCTGGCCCTTGGTGGCCTCAGCTGGGCTGGCAGCTGTTGGCAACTGGGGGGATTTGTGGGCAGGAGCTTGTCTGTACTTGTGGTTTGGAGCCTAACAACCTGTGTAAAGTACCAGCTTCAAGGTCAGGACATTTGTGATGTTTAGGCAAAGATGATCCACGTGGGTGTATTTGATGTGAGAGCCCTGGCAGCAGTTACTGGACAAACTGTTGACTCCCCCACCAAAGACAGAATCTCTTGCAAGCAGATGGTTCTGAGTTGAGGTGGTTGAGTGGGAAATTCCAGTGCAGCTTCATCTGGATACTGACTGTACCTCAGTCTTTTTTTTTGCTGCCTTTTATTGGCAGCTCACATCTGTGTTGTGGTTGTTTAAGTTCCAAATGACCCTTGGAATCAATCTGTGTTCAGCCTTTTCTTCAGGAGTAATTTTATTGGTGTGCTGTGGGCTATCCCAGGAGGCTTACAGTAAGATTGACCTTCTTGTCAAATCTATTTTTGCTGTAGTATTTGGGAGCTTTGTGTCTCTGTTATCAGTCACTGTGATACAGTGAGCATCTAAAGAAGCCAGATGGGTCTCTTGGCCATGGGAACCTTGAGCTGATGAAGCTCTTTGAGCTAATGAAGCTCTTTGAGCTGATGAAGCAGTTTGAGCTCTTTCAGATGATGAATCATCCACCATCCAGGAGGATCTCTCCTGTATTATATGATACCCCCAAAACTCTGGGGTGACCTGCTTCTGTTACTTGGGAAGCCTGTTAAATGGCAAAATTATTGAGGAATATTCTTAAAACGAGGGAATGTGTGGGTTAGATGATATCAAACACAATCAGAGGAGTCCCAGTGTGAAGGGGGTGTGCTATTTCTCTTGTACCACTGTGATTTTCCTTGGTTACAAGCACAGCTATGGGGTTGGAAAGCAGCAGAGATGTGCCAGGGTGCTGCAGAAGTCCAGGGATGTGTTGAGCTGCTGAATTCTGAAGGTTAAGCACAGCCCAGCAATCAGTCATGCACAAACCAGAGCTGTTCTGAAATGAGATGGCATAAATTATTGTTGTGTTACTTTTTATAGGGTTCAAAAAGATCCTGATAAGCCCTATGCATGTTCTGTTTCCAGCTCTTCCATGTTGCCTATATCCTTATCAAGTTTGCAAATTCTCCTCGCCCAGACCTCTGGATTTTGGAAAGATCAGTGGACTTTGGAAGAACTTACACTCCGTGGCAATATTTTGCTCGTGAGTATCAATCCTTGTGTCACTGCTCTTTGGTGGGTGGGTTTCTTTAATCATTTGCCCAGTAGCAGGAAAATGGGACCATGGGGCTCACTAAAGATTTCAGCTGCAGTGAAGATGGTGAACGCCAGATACACTTCTCTTAGTTATCCACAATAAATTAGGCACAAGAGGGTAACCAAAAATGAGTGGGATATTTTGAAAGTAGGATATTTTTGAATATTTTTCAGTCTGTTGGGAATTTTTGTTCTGTTTAGTTTGTCTTGGGTTTTGGGTAGGTCAGAATTACAGTGTCCTTCATCCCAGAGTTTCGTGGAAAAGTCAAAATGAAATATAAATGCAAAATCTTGGAGTACATATATATTATGTACATATATATATGAGAAATATTGTGCCATGTCTTATGAGGCATCACTGCATTGCTTAGGAGGAGAAATTTCTTGGTTTTAGGACTATCCATTTTTCTGTGCTGAGTGACACAATCCCTCTTACCATTCATTTACAGGCAGAATTTACCTGAAAGCCCAGGGGATACTTCTTGGTTACTTTAAATTAGAACAACTGTGTTTATTTTCACCCAGAAAAATAATTTTGGTGGTTTTTTTTTTGTAGACTCCAAAGCAGACTGCTTGGAGCTCTTTGGGAAGGAAGCCAACGTTCCAGTGAGGAGGGATGATGATGTCCTCTGCACCACAGAGTACTCTCGCATCCTGCCTCTGGAAAATGGAGAGGTGAGTGATTTTAGGAAAGTCATGGCTAAGGCTTGAAGCAAACAGCATCTGCTTCAGACTGATTCAATAAACTCCTGAGACAGGGAGTAGTTTTTTAGCTATGACTCTTTAAATCTACATCCATAAATCCATAACTTGCTATGTCCAAGTGCTTAAGTAGCTGGTGATTTTTTTAGAGGGTGAGTTGGCTCCTCCCAACTTTCAGCATTCCCTGTGAGGGCAGGAGCTGCTCAGAGGTACCTGTGTTAATTTTTATCATTATTTAGGTACCTCACTTTACTCATATGCATTCAAAGGTGTTAACTGCATTTGCTGAACCTTTTCAATGGACGTGGCAGAACTTGGCTGCATCAGAATTGCTGGTGGGAGGGGAGGCTGGTGAAGCAGATATTTACCCTTCAGGAATAGGTAGCTAGTTAAGAAAAGGCTATAGAAAATGCTACATGTTTATAAAATGCTATATAAAATGCTACAGTCCATGTGTTTGGAAGGTGTTGCTCTGATTTTAGCCAGTGTTGATGGTGAGGTCCCATCTGTGCTGATGGCCCCTGCAGATGGGCTCCTTTTACACCTGATGGGGTTATAATCCAGATCTGAACTCCTCAAGAGTTATCCATTTCTGAGCATATGAATCTGGGGCTGCAGTTTCATCTTAAAGTAGAATTTATTTATTCATGTATCTGTAAAATTTTCCTACTAACATATGGTAGAGAATAGTTTCCACAGAAGAACACTGCTGGTGCTGTCCCCTCTTAAGCTGCTGGCTTCTGCTACTTTAAGAAATAAAAAGATGTGGAGCTGTTGTTTTGAAAGTCAGATAAAGCTGCTCCCTGCGAGGGGATGTTCTAAAGCAACACTGTGTACTTTCTTCCAAAAGACCATTAATACCCTCGCTGGCACCAGACCTGGTAACAATAATATTTTCCAGGAATGTTTGTGCCTTAACCCAAAAATAACTGTGCTCTGGGAAAGAGCCAAAACCTGATGTTTTCACTCAGGCAAAACTCCCATTGACACTATCAGCTGTTAATGTAAGTAGGTGCAACTATTCCTCTTGTTTTTTTCTTAAGGAAATGTGTACTTTTTATGTGTTATACCTACTGTTTTCAAAACAGACAGAGGCACTTTTTTTATTCTTATTTGCCATGTGGGAGATGAGAACTCAGGAGGGTCCAAGACTAACAACACTCTTTTTTTCCCTGGCTTCAGTATGCAACGTGTGGTTGTCACCACAACTATGCTTAGAAACCATAGTAAGTGTTTGAATTCTTGTATCAGTTTTGCTCTCCTGACACTTGCAGTTGATGTATTTTCACAAAGATGTGCTTGCTTCTTTGTTAGATTGTCATATCTTTGGTCAACGGCCGTCCAGGAGCACAAAACTTCACTTATTCCCCCAGTCTTCAAGAATTCACAAAGGCAACAAACATCCGCCTTCATTTTCTCAGGACCAATACCCTTCTTGGACACCTGATATCAAAAGCTCAACGAGATCCCACCGTGACTCGCAGAGTAAGTCCTGTTCTCACTGAGATATCCTCCACAATCTTATTCAGCATCTTGGAGACCAAAAAAGGGCTCTGGGTGTTTTAAGTTTGTAACATCCGAACAGTCAAAATTTACCTTTAAATCCCCACGTTTTCTCCAAGTTCATTTGAGACAAGAAAGTAGCTGGGTCAGCAAAGATTGATGGTTTTATAACACACCATCTGCTTTCCCTGTTTCTGAAGATGGGAGGGGGTTGAGTGCCCCATGGGAGCTGTAAGAAACCAAAGTGCAAATCTAAACTATCTTAGGCAGAGCAGAGGAGCTACATTTATTCAGCTTTATTTGAAGCTACTTTCCCATATTTATTCCAAGACTGATTTTTAGGAAGCAGTACCTGTCTTTCTGAAGGAACAGGACTAAAAGGACATACTTTAAAGGATGTTTTTTCCACAGATTGAGATGCCCAGGTGTTTTCAGTGGATTTTGGGCTATCCAAGAGCTTGAAAGCCCAAGTCCTACTCCTATTCAGTGGGGATATGTAAGGAAATTCAAGGGGAACACCACATAGAAATTCATACACTCAAAGACTAAAAACTTGATAATGTATTGTTATTTTTAACCTTTTTACTTAAGATGAAGATTTGGTAACAATTGGAGGAAACCTTGGGGTGAGGCACTGCACAAATGTGTGTGAGGGTTGCTGCATTGAAAGCAGTTACTTGATAGCACTTGCATTAAGTACCTTTATTATCCTAATTAGATTTTAAGCTGTTGCTCATAAGCAGATGTAAATGCAGTATTTAGTTTACTTGGCAAGCTGTAGTGTAAGGAACCTCTGTTCCTTAGTGAGGTGTAAGATAGATGAATGAAATGTCAAGTATTTAATTAAATTGATAAAAGAGAGTGCAAGTTTTTATGGTAGAGGCTTTCCAGGTCTAGGAAATAATTCATATCCTTAAAGAAAATCTTTGTGTTAAACTTATTATAGAAACAGATGAAAACTGGACAATTTCTGTTCCTGTACCCAAGTCATTTCTTGACCTAATGGTTTGACCATTGTGATAATACAAATAAAGACCTAATTGTGCCTCTTGTTCCATAGTATTTCTACAGTATAAAGGACATCAGCATTGGTGGTCGATGTGTTTGCCATGGCCATGCTGAAGTGTGTCATGCAAAGAGTGCTGAACACCAACACCAGTAAGTAAACTGAGCACAACGTCACCATGAGATGAGAAAAACAATAGATGGATGTTTTCAAATGACCTTTTTTAATTATAGAATAATAGAGTCTTATTAGGGGTTTTTCATTGTCTTGTAAAAAGTAGAATCTGCTAATGATTGACATGTATGCTAATGATGGACATTGTGTATGAAATAGAATAATAAAAAATCTTAGATTTTTCTTTTTAATTACAAGAAGAGTTGGGCAATTGAATAATTTCTTAGAAACCCTTAGTTCTTTTTAAAAAAACTTGGGCTTTTATCACCTTCTAACATCAAGAATTAGAAGCCCAGCTGAAGAACCAAGTTAGTGAACTGGAGATGCTGAGCATTGTTCCTGAGCTGAGCCAAGATCCAACAGCTTCTGATCATTACTAGAAAAAAAACCATAAAACCAAACTGAATGAACTATTCCCTTTCCCTGGGATGTTTTTGGATGTTCATACTGATTTCACAAGGGCTCCTTGGCTCCTCTGCTGTAGGGAGGTGACTGTGAGCAGTCAGGATGGTTAAAACGTGTTTTAAAAGCCTGGTTTAAACCAGCTGTTGCTTTTATCCAGTGAAACAAGCTTTTATCAGGACAATATTTTCAGTTAAGTGGGCAGATGGGTGCCTTCTTTCTAGATGTCTGTGCTGGAGAAAAGTAAATAAGGTGTGAAATCTGTGGGAATGGGAAGCTTATACTAAAAAAATTGATTGCCCCTTTGTTATTAGACTACACAGATAAGAGAGGAAGGTTGGAAGAGGCTTCTCCAGTCTCAGGGTCTTTGCTGCTCCTGGGATTTTGTGGCTATGGCATGATAGTAAGATCTAGCCAGCCCATAATGACATCCTTCTCCTGAAGTGGGCTATTCAGCTAAACCAAGCCAAATATGAACTACATTTTCTTGATGAGTAGTGTGCACTGTTTTAAAAATAGCAAGTGCAAGTACAATTCTGGTTTATTAAAAACACTAATAAAATTATTATGAACAAAGCATAGCATAAACAGTATGAAGGCATGCTTATAAAGGTGATAAATATTTTGATTTACAAGGTCAGCAAGCTTTGGAATGAAGCTAAAATAGGATACATCCTAAATTGTTAAAAGTTTCATAATCCCATCTATTGAATCCAATTATAAGTGTTCCTCATAAGCAATCTGTGCTAATAAATTTAGGATCACCTGATTAAAGTAATCAGTCATGAAGAATTTTAGGAAGGTTCCAAGATGTTCCAGTATTACTGTTTTACTCTTTACATGCTAGCTTAAGCCCTGTCATTTTCACACTATTCTTGGATTTCAGTAAAACGAAGGAAAAAAACCTTTAAATCCAGTTTTTGGAGGATAAGAAGCTTTCCTTCCTGCAGGTTTCAGTGTGATTGTCAGCATAACACTTGTGGGGAAACCTGTGATCAGTGCTGCCCTGGGTATCATCAGAAACAGTGGCAGCCTGCAACATCTGGGAGCACAAACAGATGTGAACGTGAGTAGCCTGAGAGGGAGAGGTGGGTGAGAATGAGCCACGTGCTCATGGAGCACAACTGGTGCACTGCAGGCTTTAATACTTTGTCTTTACTGAGAAATTCGTTCCCTACAGTCATCAGGAATAGATGATTTATGTTCTTCTTATCAAACAAAATAGAAATTCATGTGAGGAAAGTGGAAGCCTTTGCCCCACAGAGTGAGTAGTCACGTTGGAGAAGTCCACTGCCCTTTTTCCCACCTCCCCTGTGTTTCATTGTGTTGTTAAAGATGCACAACCTCATGGACACCCTTTTCTTTTCCTCACCTGCCACTCCTGAGTGTAGCCAGTGGATACAAACTCTTCCCAGGGTAATCTTAAGAGCCAGAGATGTGTCTATATAATTAGTCTGAGGAGTAGAGATGGGTTGTTTAATCAAAGCTTCAGTGCTAAGCCTGGATGTTGAGGGGTGGAGAGGGGGAAGATGATTAAAATATTTGATAGGAGACAGGCATGTTGGGACATAATTTTTGGACAAAACTTGAAACCTCATTGAAATTCCCCTCTTTGAAAGGAAAATTTTTTTCTGCCAGGAATGGGATAGACAAAGAGCATAAATAATGTCATGTATTTTAAAGAATGAGTTTACCAAAGATCATCTCTGAGATCTGCAGCCAAAACAAGGTTGCTTCTGAACGACTTTTTGAAAAGTAGCCTTTTTAGTGTGGATTGCTCCTAGCAGTTTGAGGTGATTTGTTGGGAGTATTTGCCAGGTGCAGATCTCCTTTTCCTGGCAGGCAGTAGTGAAGGAATTAAAGCAACCTCATTAAACTTCCCTGGAGAAAAACTGATTGAAAGAGGTCGTTGGGAACTTTTTGGGATAAGCCCAAGCTTTTGCTATGGGTTTCCCAGTATTTTATGGGTCAGCAAATGGCTCAAACTGGTAAGACACTCCTTGGTGAGGTAGAAGGGTTTCTGTTCCCCTCTGAGAGAAAATGCTGTTACTATAATCAGAGCAAATAATTTCCTCTTCCTTTTTGAAGACATCCTTGTGAGCTGTAGCTCACAGATGGTTTGGCCCTAGAGGCAAGGAGCTTTTATTTACTGTGGAAATCTTTTTCTTGAGGGATGTTCTCCTCTTCCTTTTCTGACTTAGTATCTGGACCTAGCATCTCATTTGTGCAGGGTTTTATTTCCTGGAAGAATGATATGAATAAAAAACCCTGAAGATCTTCACGGGCTATCACAGCCTGGCTTGGGAAGCCACTCTTGACTTGTCTGGTTCCTGTCAGCCAACCAGAAGGGAACCTGTTGGTAGGACACAACCTTGTCATGGCCACAGCCTTGGCCGTGTTGTTGGCAGTCTCTAGAAAAGGGTTTCTTTGTCCTAAGCTATTCACATATAGAGGTGTAGAGGAGAGAGAATAATCCAGTTTGCTTTCTCCTGACAGCACAGCAAGGCATGGAGAATCAATTGTCCCTGAATTGTGCTCCCAGTTGTGCCAGGTACTTGGAATAGAGTTTGGAAGGATTAGTTCCCATACGTTTCCCCCATGATGGAGAAAGTAGGCTCTTAGCTTTGGTTTTAAGGTGCTTTCAAGATCCCATTGTTTCCCAGAGTATCTTATCCCCTGCTCCAGATGAAGAGAGGATGGAATCACAGAATCATGTAGGTTGGAAAAGATCCTTAAAATCATTGAATCCATCCATTAACCTAACACTGCAGGTCCACCACTAAACCATGTCCTAGGTGCCACATCTCCACATCTTTTAAATCCCTCCAGGGATGGTGACCCCAGCACTTCCCTGGGCAGCCTGTTCCAGTGCTTGACAACCCTTTTGGAGAAGAAATTTTTCCCAATAACCAACCTAGATGTCCCCTGGCACAACTTGAGGCCATTTCCTGTAAAATCATAGCTTTATGAAGTCAAAACTGTAGGAGTTTCGTGGGAAGGGTTCCCTGCAGTGCTGAAACATCACCTAGCACCCTAAACTTCTTTTTCACCTCTGCCACATGACTGAATTCCAGTGTGATAAATAAAGCTGACCTGGAATATGACTTTTGCAGCCTGCAATTGCCATGGACATGCCACTGATTGCTACTATGATGCTGGTGTTGCTCAGCGTGGAGAGAGCTTGAACATCCATGGCCATTATGAAGGTGGAGGAGTCTGCATTAACTGCCAGGTAAAAAAAGGTCCTTTTTGGGCCATGTAGACACAGGGCACTTGAAGAAGGGCTGCAGAGTTGGGACTGTGCCCACACCAATAGTTTGGAGGCTAACCAGTCTAGCTAGCTTCATTTCCCTGATGTTGGTACTGGTGCTCCAAGCAGGGAGAGAGGTGCCTGAGAATAATTTACATTGCACAACACTGGGGGTTAAATACAATTTATACATGTTTTTAGACATTATGCTCAGCCTTGGGTGATTCAAATAAAGCCACACAATGCAACAATTAAAGCAACTCCAACAATCCCCTTTCCTGTCATTACAATCTGAACAGGAGGAAGTAAAATTAACCAGCTAAAATTCCAGCTCAGGGCAGCTGAATTTCCTTACTGCAGCAAAACACAGAAGGCAGCAGTGAAGGAGGGCATAGGTTATATCAAGAAGGAAGCTGGTGGATATTGAAAAAGCACAGAATCAAAAAATGGAGCTCTTGAAGTCATCTAGACTAGTGCTCCACTCAGACCAAGGCTAGATGTGAAGTTCTATCAGGATGCACTGAGGAGTTTCCAGCTGAGTTCTGAACATTTCTAAGCAAGCAGGTTGCACAGACTCTGGCTGATCTTTTACAGCACTGACTTGCTTGCTTGGTGAAGAGATTCTTCTTACTGCTCAGTAGAAATTTCCCCAATTGCAACTTGTTTAGTCCTTTGGCTCTGCATTTTTGACAAGAGTTGGCTCTGTCTTCTGTGGAGCTGCCTCTCAGGTAGAGGAAAGCTGCCCCATTAGACACCTCACCCTCCTTCAACATCTCTTCTCCAAGCCAACCAAAGCCATTCCCTCGGTTCCCTCTCTACAGCTCCAGACCTGGATGGTGGCATCCACCTCCTGGTGGTGATTAAAGAACACCAAAGAATTCATTCCAATTATATTCCATTTTTTTTAACCTGTGCTGATCCTTTCTTAGCTGTTTATAGCAACAGTGTAAAGGATGTTATTGTTTCTTGATGCTTCCAAGTTCCCCTTTTTACCTCCTATTCTCCTTTTGGTTTATTTTCTGCAGCATAACACAGCTGGGATTAACTGTGAGAAGTGTGCAGAAGGTTACTATCGTCCTTACAGGGTTCCAGTGAGGGCTCCTGATGGCTGCAGACGTGAGTTCTTCTCTAGTAATTATTTTCTTGTGGTTTGGGTTTTTTTTTTTCAGCCATAATCAAGGCATAGGATGCATCTTTTGGGGAGGAAAAATGAAAAGGTGGCCAAAAGATGCTGGAGAACAACTGGGAATTACTTTCTCTGTTGCTTCAGATCCTTCTAATGAGATTGTCCTCAATTTAAGTGTTATAGGAGCCTAAAGGTTCAGACCAGCAGCAGGACAATAAGAGGGAGCAAGCCAGAAAAGGCTGCTGAGGAGAGAGGATCCCATGAACCTGGGGTGCTGCTACACAGCCCAGTGAGGAGCCCTGGCTTCTAGGAAGCCACTCTCATCTCCTGCCCTCATGACCTTGCTTTTCTTAGCTCTCTGATGTGCATATGAGGTGTCCTTTGACTCTTGGTCACTTGAAAATGTGATTCTATAGCTCTAAAGGTCACAAGAATCCCCACTCCTGTTCTATGCAGTGTTGAACTTGAGGGCTAACAAATGGTGCAATGGGATAATAATCATGATAATAATAACATTTCAAAAAGAAGCTGAGTGTAGGTAAAATAGAAGAGCTGAATTACAAACAGGCTGAAGGAGCCTTGTGACAGGGAGGAGGAAGCTGCAGTTTGTTGTGTTGAAGGGAATGGGAAGGCACCAGAGCTGTGGCATGCTGCCATGAGGATGCACATGGTCTGTAAGGGAGGGTGATGCTCAGCCTAGAGCATGGAGAGATGAGCAGACACCACAGAAAAGCTCATGGCTGCAGTGCTGTGGAATAATAACATTTAGCTTTCTGAATTCAAAATCTCAACAGTCTAAGAGCAGAGCATCGTCTTATTTCTAAGGGGCATCACAAAGATTATCTGGTGCTAGAATGTACTTGAAAAATACCCAACAGCAAATGGTAATTCTTTAAATGATGGGGTAGCCACAGCTGCACATTTCCTCTCCCAGTGCCACTGAGCACTGCTGCAGAAGGCAGAGGAACCCTTTCCCAAACTGGAGCTCACTGCTGCCTCTCTCCCAGCCTGCAGCTGTCCCCTGGAGCACGCAGAGGGCTGTGAGGAAGGCTCTGGCCGCTGCCTCTGCAAGCAGAACTTCCAGGGGGAGACCTGTGAGCGCTGTGCTGAGGGGTTCTATGCTTATCCATTTTGTGTCTGTGAGTATACAAGTAGAAATGAGCTTTTCCCCATAATTTGAACGTGCATTAGCAGGTTTCATTGTGCTTGACTTGGTGAAACCATCTGGCATTTCATCCTCACGTGTTTGTGTGTTCTGATAAATCAGCTGTCATAATACTGAACAGAGTCTGGTGTATTTGGCCAAACAATTGTTACTTAAAAATCATAGAATCCTTTAGGTTAGAAGAAAACTTTAAGATCAAACAATTGTTACTTAAAAATCATAGAATCCTTTAGGTTAGAAGAGACCTTTAAGATCAAGTCCAACCATTAAGCCAACACTATTGAGTGTGCTGCATTCTCACAGTCCTGAGTGCATTTCAGAACATCTCATTTCTCATTTCATGTCATTTAAGACATCTTCATCAAGGCTACAGCCTGTCTCTCAGTAAGCCCCAAACACCAGACCTAAAGCCCTGCACAAGTTGTTTAAATATGTCTCAGGTTTTTGGTTATAAAAACCAATTGAACTGGGATCTGGGACATGACTGTAGTTAGAGAGAGGGGAGAAAATGGTTGTGTTCTCCTTGACACTTCCCAGGATTTGGAACTTGCATAGGTGATCATATTTGGAATATAGAATATTTGGAATATTCTAAAATAAATAAAATAACTCTAAAATAGCACCTATGTAATTCCTGGCAGAGCATGAAGCACTCAGCCACGCTAAGTCATTTTTGCTGGACTGCAGGTAGGGGCAGATACATGGTTGGAGGAAGGGCTCCAGTTTGTTCCAGATTTTTTAAGAGGTGGTTCAATGAAAAGGTGTTTGTAAACCCAAAGAAAAGAAAAGATACTAGAAAAAACTGTGACACAGAAATGCTGAGTGCCTCTGTTTATTTGAAGAGGTTATAGGATGCTATCTAATCCTGTTGACTAATTGAAAATTAGATTTTTACTTCTAATGAAAAGAAATTAAAGTGTTGGGAATTCAGAAAGTTAAAAGCTTTAAGGGCTCCAGTTTGTTCCAGATTTTTTTAAGAAGTGGTTCAATGAAAAGGTGTTTGTAAATCCAAAGAAGAGAAAAGATACTAGAAAAAACTGTGGCACAGAAGTGCTGAGTGCTTCTGTTTATTTGAAGAGGTTATAGGATGCTATCTAATCCTGTTGACTAATTGAAAATTAGATTTTTACTTCAAATGAAAAGAAATTAAAGTTAAGTGTTGGGAATTCAGAAAGTTAAATGCTTGCCCCATAAACAAATGATAACAAAGTGTAACATGAGGATTGTGTTTGCTGCTTAAAAGCTTCTGACTCCATGAACAGATTTGGAATGTTTTGTGACCTCAGGAGGAACCTTTTTCTGACAGTTGATAAAACAAGTGTTGTTCTGGGGCGAGATGTGAAGTCTGACTAAAAGAGAGATACCATGATAAAAATTAAAGGAGGCAATCAAGGCAAAACAAAGGAAAACACAGTGTAAAAAATGGGATGTTGTTTGGATTCAATGGCTAGGGTAGAATAAATCCTCCCCATAGCATGTGTTGTAGGTTATCACGTGTTGGTGGTCAGGGTATTGAATGAAATTCATGTGTCTGTTTCAAACACACCTTGTTGTTTCTTTTGTTTTCAAGATATTCCTGCATATCCTTTTCCTTCTCCAAATCCAGGAGGTGCTCTGGCTGGTGACATAATAGGCAAGTTTTCAGTGTGATTTCTTTTCCCCATTTCACTGTTTTTTTTCCCCATGTTGCTGTTTTTTCACCTTTGCTCTTTCATGGAGATTTATGGATTTATGGATTTATGGAATGTAATTTTGCCCCTGTTGGTATTTACCTTTCAGAGAGAAACTTCTTGCCACAAGCTCATCATACTGTCATTTTCATAGCAAACAGTTTAGTGGGCTAATTTAGGAAGGGTTCTGGATCAAAATAAGTTTATCCAACCTCTGGCAGGCATCTCCAGAAGAGGCTGACTTGTCTGGGGCTCTTATGAACAGATCCATCAAGACTCTCTGACATGTACAACTTGTCAGCTGCTTTGTGCTGTAAATCTCTCCCTTGAAGGCTCCCTGGGCTCTGCTCCTGGACTGTCCTGGTGCACCTGGGAAATTGGGCATTGCCCTTGGCAGTGAAGGGCTTTGATTTCTGAGAGGGCTACATCATATTTCTTCTTTAGCCCATGACAAAGCTGCCTGAAATCCACACAATGATTCTCACAGGGAGATAATACTTTTTACTACATATTATTATACTGTAGAACATCATCACAGCTAGTGCTTCATCACCTGCAATGCACTTTTTATTTATAAAGAATTATTTTGTTATTATACTGTGTATATTATAGATTATATTATCACCTGCAATGCACTTTTTATTTATAAAGAATTATTTTGTTATTATACTGTGTATATTATAGATTATATTATTATATTTATGATATCATTAATTATATTACATATATTTAAATTTTACATTATTATATTATTTACAAAAATATTATTTATAAAGAATTTATAACTTTAAAAAGCCTTAAAACCTTTTCCAGGTCATAAAATCAACATTCTTCCCCCTTTATTTCTATTGGCTTTAATAGAACTGGAGTTTATGTTGGCAAATGAAAAATTGTTTTCTTCTGTGAACGTAGCAGGGACTTTGTTATAAGCAGGCAGCACAAATCCACTTATTGGATTGTAAAATAAATCCAAATTGTCTTCTTGAAAGCACAGTTGCCATCACAGCCCACAAAGCCTCAGCCTCCTGTGCCACTTACCTCCTTCTTACAGCATCCAAAATAATTGCCCTGGTCACATAACCCCCTCTCACACGTATCTTTAAAAGGGTGAGGAAAGAAAACTCCAAGGAAATATAAATAAACAGGAGAAAATAGATATTTAGCTATTTACATTTTCATCTGAATGTGCAGGCATCAGAGAGGCAGCTGAGGCTGCAAATTTGTGCTGACAGACTAAGCACAATTCCAGCTTCTTATTATTTATAAAACAAGATTTGCACCTAAGAATCACACAGATCGTTTTGTCAGCTCCAGAGTAGGAATTACTAAGCACTGATTTGTGCAAAAATAGGAAGAGTTGGGTGATTTTGTGCACTAATTTTGTTTCTTTCTTTCCTTTTCCTGTTGTATGTAGAAGGTGGCTGCAAACCAGGATATTTTGGCCCCCAGTGTCTGCGTAAGTGTTATAGGGTTTTTTTAACACTTGGAATGCTGTGCTCTGGTGTAAATACCAGTCTTTGGCTTCCAAATAAAATAGGCACTTGGAGATGGTAAGGCTGGAAATGTTTTCTTTACCCCTCTGCTCTCCAGCATGCCAGTGCCACGGGGCAGGAGCGCTGGGCAGGGACTGTGATGGGAACACTGGACAGTGCAGGTGTCGAACTGGATTTGGGGGTTCCTCCTGTGATTCCTGTGCAGCTGGGTACTTCCACTACCCCTTCTGCCAGGGTGAGTCAAATCTTCTCTTTCAGCAAGACTCTCCAAAATACAGACCCAGGTTTTATGCCTAGAGATTTAAGTTCTTTCGCCACGAAGATGTGGCAAAAAGGGAATCTCCCAAAACTCCCAAAAATCAAAGAAGATGAAAAATGTGATGAGGAAAATGTGAGGATTTCTATCTAAATACACCCCTATTTCCTTGATTGCAGTTTGAATCACTTGAATCCAGTTTGGGGATGGATTTTGTAACATTAATGAAATTTAGAATACTCTTGGGAACATTTCTGTTACTTAATGTTGTTTTTTATGAAGAACAAAGTAAATTGTGTTTCATTTGAGTCTGCAAGCTCACTTTGAAGCATCAGGCTGCCCTTTCTAATCAATACTAGAAAACTGACTGGTTTTAAACTTTGTTAACCATCTCTGCTCTGTCTTTTTAGGTATTCTATTAGCCCTACCCCCTGAGACTGTAAATCCCAACCAGAAATTCTTCCATTTCAGCCTTAAGATGTTGGAATTACATTCAATAGTTGGCAAAACTTAGGGTTGGTAAATCAGATTCTGAGTTGTGACAGGCCAAGTGTGGTGCTTCAGCACTGAACTCAGTAGTTCCTTTGAGCCAGATTCTTTTGCTCTTTCATTCATGTCTCCCTTGATGCTGAATTATTACTGATGTGGGCAATAATAAAAGCTGTTACCAACCACAATAAATCTGATAGGAAGACTTTGGTCCTATTGAGCTTTTTCTTCTTTTTCTTTTTATTTTAAAGAAAGGTGAGAGCCTGTGCAGAGGCTGCCTCTGAAATGCCTTTTCTGGTTTGCAGTGTGTGAATGTAACTTGGCGGGTACCCAGCCTGAAATCTGTGATGTTTTTGGGAGGTGTCTGTGTCGCCCTGGGGTAGCTGGACTCCAGTGTGACAGCTGCCAGCCTGGCCACCACTCATTCCCCACATGTCAAGGTAAGGCTGTGTTTCCATAGTAGAGAATTATATAGTCTATTTTCTCCAAGGCTTCTTTTTCTTTCCATATTTTTTGGCATAGCCACAGTCTTACTAATATCCAAAGGATCTGAAAGCTGTTTGCACATTTGGGGTAGCTGGACTCCAGTGTGACACCTGCCAGCCTGGCCACCACTCATTCCCCACATGTCAAGGTAAGGCTTGTGCTTCTATAGTAGAGAATTATATAGTCTATTTTCTCCCAGGCTTCTTTTTTTTTTCCATTTTTTTTGGCATAACCTCATTCTTACTAATATCCAAAGGATCTGAAAGCTGTTTGCACATGGAGACCTATATCAACCAAGCATCCCTGACTGCTCATGGCAGAGCAGAGCTGTGAAGGACTGGTCTACTTTAGTAAAGGGTCTTTGGTACCTTGTAAAATGTGTGCTCTGTAAATCTGAAAATGAGAAACTCCAGTTTTGCCCTTCACAGTGATTTTTCCCTGGGCTGAAGGGAGGCACAGAGCTAACCTCTGTTCATGTATCTGTGAAACACAAGGTTTCTAGTGGTAGGACAAGAGGAAATGGGTTCAAGTTGAGCCAGAGGACGTTTAGATTGGGCATTGGGAAGAATTCCTTCACTGACAGAGTGGTGAGGCACTGGACCAGGCTGCCCAGGGAGATGGTGGGGTCACCATCACTAGAGGAGTTCAGAAAATGTGTAGATGTGGCACTTGGGGACGTGGTTTAATGGCCATGGTAGTGTTGGGTGATGGTTGGACTTGAGGATCATGGAGGTCTTTCCCAACCCTAATGATTCTGTGAAACATGAGGGGTCTCCACAGGGCTTCAACAGTGTTCCTGCTGTAGCAGTCCTCTGCTTTTGGCCCTTCTGTGCTTGTTCCCACCCTATGAACAGGCAGCATAATCCTTGGTACCCTTGCAAAGCTATTTTATATTGTGTTACCTCACACAGTGGGGAGAATAAATAAACACTGCATAACTGTGTCTGATGGTCTGGAGTAGATTAACATTTTAAAATGAAAACCATAACCCCAGGATTCTGTGTTGGTACACACTGTTCAGTGGGTTTAAAGTACTCTTAAGAGTATTTTTTTTCTTAGAACTGAATCAGGTAGAAATCTGAAAGGAAATCAAACCTGTATTGAGTATTTTTGATATATTCTGTCACTTCTTGGCTGCTGCACCTAGAACTGGTCTCTCTGCTCGTGCCTTGCTGAGCTCAATAGAACCTTTATTCAATAGGAGTGGTCCCAAAATAAAGCTCTAAACAAATGAGTGTTATTAAAATGAGGAGAGAATGCACTCTAATGTTCCATCTGGGAAGGGACTGTGTTGTAGGTGAAGTTTTTGGAAGCTTCAGTGTTTATATTTCTTTTATACTAACTTCCTAGCCAGCCCTGAATCTTTCCAGGCATCCTTGAAGTAAACACAGTGAAGTCAGATGTCCTTGGCTGCAGCAGAAAGAGGAACTGAAAAGGGGAACCAGGAACATGAACGTGGAACAGAAAGACAGGGTTTGTTTTATATTTCTCTCAGGGAGCCAGTTCTGCCAGTATAAAGTCCAAGTGGTTAACTGCAGTGCTTGGCTTGTACCTGGGGCAGCTGAGATTGCCAGCTGGGCTGGGAATTCAGGTACCTGTAAAGTATGACCCTGTGGAATGTCCAGGCTTCATTTCAATACAATTTCAATACATTTCAATACAATTTCAATAGATTTCAACACAATAGTAGAGCTCTTAGCCTAAAGTAGTGGCCAAAGTTTGTTGTTTTAGTCTGACAATAGCTTTCCTTGTGGTGTTACATGCCAACTCCTGCAGTGCACTGTTTGCCAGCTTGTAGAATTCAGATGTCAGCAGTTTTTACCTTGTGCTTAATTTATTTGTGGTTAATTTGCTTGTGCATCATTGCTTGTAAGCTTCTGGTTAGCCATAAGCCCTTGCCTGCCTCTGTGGGTGCTGTTTCTCAGAGATTATTTTGTAAAGATGCTGAATACTTCTGTCAGGGGATGTTCTTTTCATTGGAAGATGGAATCCTGACCCTTCCACGTGTGTTCTGCAAGGAATCAAACCAAATCTCTGAGCTGGCTGGGTGAGCACTGCAGCCAGCATGTCTCAGTTCTGTATTTTTCCCAGTGACTGCTTTGCAGATGAAGCCAAAGTGTCTAAACCAGGCTAAATACACATTTCAAAAATCATTATTAAAGGCTTCTGCTGGTCTTGAAGTTGAAGGTATTCGAGTCCCTCCAAGGTGACTGTATTAAAAAGCCCTTTCACACTCACACTGGCTACATCTGCACTAATCCCACAGCCCTGTTTTCAAAAGATCTTTCAATGTGTTTATTTTTTAATTTCATCAAGGTGTCAGCAGTGAGTGTGACCCTTCAGGCAGCGTGGGTTCTCAGGCTGTAAGTAACCTACCCCTGCAGCTAATGTGAATAATTCTCTGCCAGAATAATTCCTGTCTGAATAATTTCTGTGGTTTTTTATCTTAAATATGGAATTTTTATACTGTTTATGTCTTCGTGGTGTGCTGGAATACTAATCTATACATGTAGATATGCAATATAAGCTTATGGATGTCTCAAAGACCTTCAGGTTCTGGGTTGCAACAGGACCCTTCAGCATCAAACTGTTCTTGGAAGCAATATTCTCTTTGTAACTGTTGCTATTCCACTATTATTGTCACAAATGCAGAGATTGATGGTTATCAGTAGTAGTATATTACCAGCAATCCCAGTCATTGCTAAATTTGTAGCAAAGAAACCCCAGAGGGTGAGTCTGAGCAGTGGAAGAAGGGTCTGTGTAGGTTCATGTGTACAGCTCTGTGTGTCTTCCACCAAGAAAGGAAAGAGTAAACGTGAAAATTGATGATTATTTTTAAGGAAATTTGGTGGGGTTTTTTTGCAAAACAATACTTCAGAGCTGTTCTAAAAAGTTTATGAAAGAATTGGAAAGTACATCCAGAGATTTTGAATAAATTAGATGTGGAGAAAATAACCCAGGGTTTGAATAGTGCTGTGCTGATAATATGAGAGAAAAAATCTAAGGATTCTGAGTCAGCCTCAGCTTCCATGCCCCTGGAGAAGTCACTGAACTGCCTGAGCTGTTAATTATGTGTTTTTTCTCAGTCCCAAAGAGCAGTGTGTTTTATATTAAACAGATAAACCCATATTAACTCCTCTCTGCCCCCAGGGCTATTGTCATTGTCTTCAGCACGTTGAAGGTCCTACCTGTAGTAAATGCAAACCACTGTACTGGAACCTGGCCAAGGAAAACCCAGAGGGATGTACAGGTACAGCTTCAGAACACTTTTTTTTTGGCTTATGGAATGGGTCAAATTCTTTTTAAAGTCATCTTTGCTGGCTAGCACCATCTCTGGAGCTCAGTTCGTGTCACAACTCTGGTTTACAGTGTGTTTTTCATGCTGCTTAATTCTAACAGCAAATTACTCAGATACCAGCAGTCACTTTTAGAAATCAGAACATAATTTCATGAGTGTTTGCTAGTGCTGGACTGAGACCAGAAGCTGGTTAATTGCTTTAGAAAAATATGTGTTTTCATTTATTACCATCCTCTAGCTTGCAAAGTGAAAAGCATTCTCCTGGCCTCAGGGTGTGACCAACCTGCTGTGGTTTATCTCTGTACAATACTGATGTGTTTGCCATTTTCAGCATCCAATTTCCTGTTTTCCAACAGCAAGTTGATGTTTTTCAGGCAGGTAATAATAATTTTAAAGATTAAAAAGGATAAAGACAAAAAAAAAAATCTTTAAAAGGCTTTTTCTTCCCAACTATTTCCTTTCCAACAGGTTCCACCACAACAGCCACCCAGCTAGGATGAGTAACCCTAAGGCTAAGCCAACACCCATATCACTACATCTCTGGCTCTAAATCTTTAAGTACTATCAGTCTGAACATCACCTCAAAGATTAATTACTGCATCCTTCATATAATTCATCTTCTCTGCCTTGGAGTCAATAGTGGGGTTCCCCAAATCTCTAGGTCAGCACAACTCCTTCCTGTGAATTGAGCTGGTCTCAGAGTAGAACTGGAGAACAGAAGGAGCCAGTCAGAAGACCCTATTTTGCATCAATTGCCTGAATATTTAACACTTGTAAATCCCAACTCAAGATTGGTTTTGTTAAAATTTAGGACAAAACACAGCAGTAAATTGCATAGCCAGAGATGTCCTCATTCTTTCCCCTTTGCTCTTTCTTCTCCCTTTGTGTCTGTATCCAGCTGCTGGTTTGAACCTTCCAGGGTAAAATCCACTTTGTTGCATTATGACTCAAAATTGCAGATTTAGTTGTTGGGGTTTTTTTTGGGTCTATTTTGTTTCCTGCCAAGTATTCTGCACTTTGTCTTTTTCTCCTCTGTGCAGCATGCCAGTGTGATGTGAGTGGAACACTGAGTGGAATTGGAGAATGTCAGCAGGTAAGCTGAAATTAGAAGAAAAACATGAATTAAATTGATTTTTAGAAAGGTGATTTTTTTTGTAACATTTTTTTAAGGCATTTTGGTGTTGCATATAAATTTTTTTATGACATTCTAAAGCTAATTTTTGATAATTATAATTTTTTGTAACATCTTGTAAGATATTTTGTATAAGTTATATAAATCTTAGTGGTGATTTTTGCTTTTGCACGTGAAGTGGCTGCTTTTATATGGCAAACAAGCAATTTATACAGAACTTTTAAGTATCCTAGGGATACATACAATTATTTTGTCATCTTGAGTTAATTTATTTTCTAGCCTGCTCATTTTAAATGATGCATGACAGAAAGTTATGCCCAGATAACATGTTTTTGTTAAGATTAGACTGTTTTTCCTCTTTAAAATTAGAGGGATTCCAAGCATTGCAAGCTTAAAGTTCTGAAAAAGGTGCTGAAACCTTTCTGATGAGATTTTCTTCACAGGAAAATGGGCGTTGTCACTGCAAAGCCAATGTTTGTGGAGATTCCTGTGACACTTGTGAAGCTGGTTATTATGCTCTGGAAAATAAGAATTATTTTGGCTGCCAAGGTAAGGTGCTGAGGTTCCTGAGTTACAGAATCACTTTGGTTGGAAGAGACCTTTGAGATCATCAAGTCCAAGCATTAACCCAGCACTGCCAGGTCACCACTGACCCACATCCCTCAGCATCACATCTCCATGGCTTTTAAATGTCTCCAGGGGTGGTGACTCCTCCCTGGGCAGCCTGTTTCAGCCTTGACAGCCCTTTTTGGGAAGGAAGAGGTGCCCTTTAGTTTGTGCCACCACAAGTCCTGTCTCCTGTGGCAAGTCATGTTGCTCAGTATTGCTTAAAAATATTCCTGTGCTATTATAGTGACACAAATCTTCTTGTTGTGTGCAATTTTTTTTAATATAAATTAAATATTGGTGCACCAGACTCTGAAAAATTAACATCTCATAATTTTTGTAAGTTAGGCTCTGCTTGTTTTGGTTTTTCTTTTGAAAAATAATTGTTCATCACCATATGGCTCTAGAAATTCTGACTTAGGAGCAAAACATTTGAAGGGCTGCTCTGCAAAACTGTGGTCCTGCATTTAGCCATGGGGCATGGCTTATGACTTGTGTTTATTTTTAAAAGTGCCTTTTGTCACTGAAAAGCCAGAAAAAAAGCTCTTTAATGCATGTGTGGGAACGAGTTGAAAGAGTTTTGGGGGAGAGGAGCTGGAGAGGGGCTCCAGAAGGATGAAATGAGTCGTTAATGGTGTTGAATTCATGGAAAAGGGGTATTTTTTTGGTAATAACTTTGATCACTTCTTTCTCCTGATGGGATATTTGGCTTCTGGTCTTTGCCTGACAGGGTGCTGGTGTGATGCTGGAGGATCCCTCAGCACAGTGTGTGCTGAGCCCTGGGGTGGCTGCCAGTGCCGGGCACACGTCGTGGGCACAGCCTGTCAGGAGTGAGTCTGGCTGGAGCTCCTGCTGCCTCCTGCTCCAGCACACTGCTTTTGGAACTGCCCCTTGCTATGCTTTCGTGTGAGCTGCTGGATTTGTGGCTAAATAGGCTTGGAAATGGTGTTGGTATTGATATTCGTTTTGCTGGGCAGTTTGCTTCGCTTATTTTAATATGATTTTGAAGCTTATTTCCTTAAATAAGCACTACCTGTTCTGCAATAGTGTTGCACTTGTGTCTGTACACCTCTCAGCAGTTAGGTAGGAAAACATATGTAAGCTGTAAAAGCTTCTGGAAAGAGAATTTGCATTGCATCCACTTTATCTGTTCTGAATTCATTAGCTGCTGCAGGATTCCTCAGTCATCAGTAGTTCCCCTCCTTTCCACTGCTTCAGGCTCTGAGGGGTGGACCACACAGTGACTGGTCATTCCTTGCTGTTTTGTTTTTTTTTTCTCCTTGAAAGACCTGAAAAAAACTATTTTTTCCCTGATCTGCACCACATGAAGTTTGAGATTGAAGATGGTACCACTGTCAAGGGAAGGGGAATTCGTTTTGGGTATGATCCTCAGGAGTTCCCTGGCTTCAGCTGGAGAGGATATGCCCAGATGTCTTCTATACAAGTAAGCTGGGATTTCACTCAAGGCTTTGGGGTGAAAACATAGGTGTGGGGTGTGTAGGTCTCTCTAGTGCTGCTCTGTGTGTGTGTGTGGTCATGGAAAAACCAAAAAAAAAGGAGAAGATCTCACTGATCCAACCCCTTCATCCCTGTTTGGATTCGTGAGTGTTGCTACTATTGTAAGGCCATTGATTGTGCAGACACATCTTCTTTAACAATATTCTTTGAGGCTTTTTTTTGGTGAGAAGAATGCACTTTGCAATAGGTATAAAGAAAAGAACTAATAACTTTAAAATTAAATACTAAGGGCAGAAGTTCTTGCTGTGCCAAGGACAGCAAAGCCTGGAAACAAACTGAACAACAGCAGAGGGAATAAAGGAGGAAGAAAGTCACATAATTTAATTGTCTGAGAGGGGACCTGTCTGTCTTTGGGCTTAACTCCTAAGCAAGTGAACCAGGATCTTCAAACAGTAGATTTGGGCAATAAATGGGATTTGCCCACTCTTCTGAAAAGTGGTAACTCTGGTGTAGTTGTGTCCAGCCTCCTTAAATTGCCCAAAGCCTCATAGAGTACTACAGAGACGTAAGCACATAACCATTGCACCAGCATAGTCATTTCCTTTCTGCTTTTAATTTTTTTCACTCTTTCCTCTTTGATCATTTGTGGTTTTTTTTTAATCCCAGAGCTCCTCTTTACTGGTCCTTCAGAATCACTCCACGTTCACAAAGGCAGGCAGCTCCCCAGTAGCTGTGATTTCTTAACTTTTGCTTTCTAACTCAGCTGCTTTTTGCATTTCATGTCCAGTGGCATTTTGGAAGGAGGCAGTGGAAGGCCTGAGGCTCTAATCTTTCTATTCTGCATTATTTTGCTTACCTGGACAAATCTTTTCACTCCTGTGAGTGATTGTCAGCTCCAGGCCCTCCTTAGTTAGATCTTTGCATAACAGACAGCCTCACATCCTTCATTTCAAGGACCTTTCCTTATTTTTTATTTCCTTATTTTTGACAAAGAGTCAAAGTGTCTTGCAGGACCCTGAAATAATCCTCCTGACATTTATTTTGTAGCAGGCAAATAGTGTCACCGTATCTACCACACAAGAGGCCAACGTAGCAACTTTTTTTTGTGAGAAGAAACCATTTCCATGCAATTACAGTGATAAGAAGCTGTGTGTGACATCAGTGGTGGTCGCTGGTGCCCTGCCATGCTGCCAACAAGTGTCCCAGGCTGAGAAGCTGACAGGCAGGCTCAGATTTTAAACCACTGGCCAGAGTTGCCCAAGTTTGTGACAGAGCTTGAAGAGTAATTTCCCCCTGGAGAGTAATCTCCACCTCTGGTTGAAGCCAGGGACCAACATCTCTTCCTCCCTCATTCCTCATATATATCTTCCTTCTCTCCCTTCACTTTATCTTCTATATTTTCCATAAAAGCCTATAAATCATTTTGATACATCTCCTGAAGCACGTTTCTCTATTTTGCCTTTTCTTTTCTGTCCATATCTATTTCTCAAGTGTTCCTTCAGTGCCTGTCTTCTCCACATAGTGTCCTTCAGAAATTTTCCTTCCCCATTTAAAACAATGCTTGGGAAACCTTCCTCTAGTTGCCTGTTTTTCATTCTGGTCTACAATCCATCCTGCAGCCACCTTGATTTGAGCTGTCTGGTCTCTCTGGATCTCTCAGCCCTGCCAGCTGTCCTGTGTCTGCCTTTGCTTTCTGCTTTGCATTTCTATTTAGAAGAATAATTAAGAATCTCTCTGGGATACTGACCTCAGAATTGAGTCGTATGCATTCAGCTTTTAGGAATCAGGGAAAATGAGGCTTAGTGCTTTGTTCTCAAACTATGGAACAGAGGAATCCTGTGTGGATTTGGGAAGTGGAGTGTGTCACAGTGCTGGGGAGGTCACTGCACCACAAGCACCTTGGAAAGTGGATTGTGATGGGTGAACTGGTGGGAGCTGGATTATGGGGCAAGCTTTATGATTTAGGATGGAAAAAGGGAAGTCAAACTCTTCAGGTTGCACCAGTCCCATGTTCTCCCAGTCCACCACCAACCATCTCTCTGCTGATTCCATTGCTCTGCAAATGAACCAAAGGGGGCTGTGTGGATGCAGCCTCCTGGGGGCTCAAGAACTGTGTGGCTCCAGAGGGGTCACAGAACATCAGATATGGTGTCACATCTCCAGAGACCTCGGGATTTGGTGGGAGAGCAGAAATTTCAATGACAATCTGAGGTGTCTGCATGCTGGGGAGCATCATGAGTCGTCTCAGACTGGGAGCAGTGATTCTGGCCCATGGCTGAGGAAGCCAGAAATATGGACAGCCCTTGATAGCACATCCCTCTATGGCCCAGGAGAGGAGAATAACCAGAATATCAACCCACGTGTTAGTTCAGCCATTCTGTGGCTTCCTGGATAAGCTGTTATTCAGCAGCACTTTTATTTCCCAGGAGGATTTGTTCTGTGTTCTTTTGTAAGCTGCCCAAGCCTTTCTTTTCTGTTATGGAGTTTGTCTTTGCCAAATGGTTTTTCTTCCTCTGGGTGCTAGTAACAAATAATACACTTTCCTTTCCTCCTTCTTTCCCTTTCTTTTTATTTTTCCCAGCCAGAGGTGGTTGTGCCTATCACTGTGGCTTCCCCTAAGCTCTTCCACCTAGTCCTCCGCTATGTCAGCCTGGGCTCAAAAAGCTCTAAAGGGAAGATCTCAGTTGCTGAGGACTATTTTGGCACTAATTATACCTGTAAGTGAATTAATTTTCTCCCTAGGCTTGCCTGTCTCCCTCTGTCATGCCCCAGCATTGCCACCCCAGTAGACACTTGTCTGCATGTGCAGTTTTCTTGTAGGACTTTAGCGTGGTGCTTGCATGGCTTCTAACTGTCCCTCTATCCAGCATTTTATGGCTGTTTTTATTAACTTCCATTTTTCAGAATGAAGTGAGGATAACTTTGAATGTGGAACACTCACACCTCTCCTCATTTCGCATTGTCCTGAGGTATATTAACCCTGGAGGTGAACCATCCTCTGGTCGCCTATCTGCTTGCCAATCTCAGCCTGGAACAGGTAGGTGCAACTCAAGGGTGCAGCAGATCCCATGAATATTAGCTCAGAGGAGCCTTTTTGAGGTCCAAAGTTGTAACATCACCTTAAAGGCATCACTTTTAACAGTGTGGGTGCTTCTGTGCTTCTCCTAATCCATTTTGGCACATAATGGATTGGCTGTGTGTGCATGGAACCCCTGCTTGATGTAGTCATCAACACTTGTTCTTTCAAATGTTGGCCAAACCCAGTGGTTTCAGCTCTGCATTTGGAAGCTCTGTGTTGTGTGTGTCGTGAAGCTTTTAAAGAAGGGATAACAGCACTTGGTTTGGTTTAGTTGGTTTAATATTTCAGTTGAAAGGTGGCTTTTGCCTTCATTTCGTGAGTAATGTTTATTTAATGGTGAACCCAATCTACCAAGGAACCAGCTTTTGTCTGTGTCCAGGGGCTTCAAAGAGGAAACCTTCAATGGTCCAGGGGCTTCAAAGAGGAAACCTTCAATAGCCATAACAACAGCTCCTCAGGACTTCTTGATAAAACATCCTGCAGCCACGTTGCTGTTGTACATCAGCTCTGCCCAGGAGCTGCCTTCAGTTACTGTCTGCAACTAAACATTAAGCAAGTGGGGATATTTTACCCAATCCCTTATTTTTTTTCCTTGATTATTCTTTTTTTTTTTCCTTTGGCAGGGGCTGCTCAGAGCCAAGAGTTTGTCTTTCCACCCAGCAAGGAGCCAGCTTTTGTCACAATCCCAGGAAAAAGCTCCACAGAGCCTTTCTCCCTGGTCCCAGGCACGTGGACTGTCAGTATAATGGCAGAGGAAGTCCTCTTGGTAAGAAAAAAATTGGGGAAAATACCTTGAAGGCTGTCATGATAGTGTTGCTCTGGAGGTATTTTCCAGGAAGAATCCTGCAAGCAATTGGAATTCAGCACTCATGAAGAGTACAGCAGGAGAATATTATCATGAAAATGGATAACTCTGCCTCTTAATTCATTTTTTTCATCTCTTTCACCTGCTCTTGTTTTTCTTGTGCTTACAGACTTTAAGTCTTTGCAGAATCTTTCAAAGGTACAATGGGTTGAGCATAAATGCTCACAGAAATACATCATTCTGATCAGATATCATATTTAAAGCTTGGCTCAGCCAGGCCCTTTAGTTTTTTTGACAAAAATTCTTCAGAAAAGTATCATAAGATAGGGTGCAGGATTAGCAAAACGGTTCCTAAATGTTCTTATCCTCCCATCTCTAGTTTTCTGTCACTGAAAAACGAAAACATTTTTCTGACAGCAGTTCTGAGAAGCTGCTATAAAGAGACCAATTGCTTGAGGTGGTCATTTATGGAAAACCTTCCACGTGTAAGATCCCAGAGCCAACATACTGCAGCTCCTGGGTGGATTCTGCAGGGTTAACACGTAGCCAGTGGCTTTAGTCATTAAGCCTGGGGCTCCCTTAAATTTATGGGATGCCACACAAAATGTTCCTAAAGAGCTTGCAAACATATTTCTTCCTGGAAGTGACAGTGCTTATCATGCCTGGTGTTTTTTTTACTAACACTTTTGAAAAGGAATTTTATGTTATTATTTTATAGTTATTTTATTTTTTTATTCATTTATAAACTTTTTTTATTAATTGTACAATATTATATTCGTTAATGATCTTAGCCCAGCTTGTTCTTACAATAACAGATTTTATAAATAAGCTCTAATACCTTTATTTAAGTGGGTAAGGAAGGGGAAAAAATAAAACAGCTTTTGGAGCACAGGTTAATGGATTACATGGAATATTTTTATAAAGTCATCTGGGATCTGTGAATGTCCCTTGTGGGTTGCACCCCTGGGTGAAGGCAGCACCCAGCTGGCTGTGTTACCAGGCTCTGGGGAGGCTCCTCTATCAGCATTGTCCTGTCTAACATATGATGGGACAGTGGCTTCAGAGTTTCCCTGCTTACAGGGCAGTGCTTTTGTCCCATCCCTGTGAAGGTATAAATAGAGTTAGGGAGTCACATCCTGATGTATCAACAACAAAAAAATCCATCTCTTGCAGCTATCCTCCCTGAAAACCATTTCTGTCGTCGATTTTGTGAAAGTCTTGAGATGTTCCTGTTGTAATTTTCTGGGTGGTCTTGCATTTGTTGTGTTCTTTGTTCTTAGGACTACTTGGTGCTGCTACCTAGTGACTACTACGAAGCATCCATCCTGCAGGTCCAGGTTACAGAGCCTTGCACCTCTTCAGGACAGGCTTCAGCAGAGCAGTCAGTATATTTGCTACAGAATAAACGTGTGCCTTGGATTATTTTATTATTATTTTTTTATTTTATCTTGCTGCACCTGAAAACAACAATAATCCTGTGTTCTGTTTGGTTGTTTTGTCTGTGTAAGCTGCTTGCTCTATCAGCATCTGCCACTGGGCAGCTTCTCCTGTGTCCCTGGTTCAGAGGCAGTGCACACCAGTGAGGGAGAATACAGAAGAGTGTCTGTGCAAGAGCCAGCTCCTGGTCAACCCTCGATGGCCTGGATCAGTGGAGGAGAGGTCAGAATCCTGCCTGCTAATTGCACTCCTGTCCCTGCTACTGCCTGCAAACCTCCTGCACTGAAGTGGTTGCAGATTTACAGCTCAGGATTTACAGATCTGGAAAGCAGATTCTGAGCCAGGTTGTGTGTAGGAGGGAGATGTAGAACTGTGACTAGAGTGGACATTTCACTCTGCCAGAAGCTTGGTAGTAAATGAAAACCCCTCTGCTTTAGGCATTATGATGTGTCCAGCATGCTGCTTAATTGCAGCAGAGATGGTGTGATGGTTTCTCAGCAGAAATGACAGGTCAGCATCACTCTAAATTAATATTTATTTTTTTTAAATAGAACTATTTAAATTTCTTACATTTTACTTAAGTAAAATATCTGCTTTACTGAAAAGCAATTAGGCCAGTGGTGTAGGTCCATTCAAAGGTAAAAATATGCTTTATGGAATGAAAAGTTATACTAGAAGTGTGTTTGGTAGAAATAAGGTGTTTTATCAAGCACGTGATAATTACCTGTCAAATGATTGTGCCCTTGATGACTGGGCTTGGATGTTGCTTTTAAAAACACCAAACAGAACAAGAATAGATGCCACAGGCCCTGGTGTGCAGAATTTTCCTGGTATGAGTGATTGCAGTGAAGTCAAGAGAGCAGCTGACAGGATTATTTACAGGTTTAAGTGTTCATAGCCTAAGGAAGCACTGAGGAAAAAGAAAAACAGTTTAAATTTCAAAATAATTATATAGCCAGCTAGAGCAAAATTCTCTGTAACCACAGCACTTGCCACGTGACTGCTTTGAAGTATTTTGCATCAAATATTGTGTTAACCAATCTGTGCAGGTTGGAAATAGGAGTTTCAGTCAATAAGGAGGCTCAATTTTAAAGTGTTATTAAAATAGCTGGGAGAGGATGGTGACAATTTTTAGTGTTGTTGAAGTTTCACCACTGGTGCTTAGTACTGGGGAGAGGAGAAATAATAATAATATAATTTCCTAGGCTTATTTTACAGCTTTCCTGGGACTGTTACAATGGCAGTTGTTTCTTGAACTTAATTAAGTGATAATTACAAGCATTGCTTCCATCCTGCTGGGTAACTTTTGCTGAGAGTTCCTCATGGACTGCTGCTGACTCGTTGGCTTGCACAGCAGCAAAATGCAGCTGCAAGAAAGGGAGTGAAAAATCTAATGGCTTTTTTTTTTTCCCTTTCCAATGATCTGGACCTAGGTTAATTTGCAGATGACCATAAATGTTCCTCAAGTTGGTCGCTACGTTCTGGTTTTTGAATATGCCAACAAAGAGGATGAGTTGTACACTGCTGAGGTGGTGATACACAGCCCTGGGCCTGCCCCTGAGGGCAGAGTGAGAATTTATAGCTGTAAATACAGGTAAGGATTTCTGAACGAAGAAAAAATGAATAATTTATTATAATAATTAAGTTATTATAATAATAATCATCTCCCAAATATTTAATGATTACCTTTTACATATGGGCTTCCATTTTACTATGCAAACTGTTTGAATTTTAGGGTGATTTAGAAGCAAGTACATGATTCTGTGGCTATTCTATAGATTTTTAATTCTCTCTGTGCAATCAGCTCGTTGCTATTGCTTCAGTGAAGAGTTTTCCTGTACAAAGAGTTACTTTCTTATGGACATTCTCTTGTCCTGAGCAAGATTGTCTTCAACACTTGAGCACTTATGACTCAAATTAGGAGTGTGGTCCTGCAGGTTTTTGCACCCTGTCCAGTGCCAGAGGACTACATCCATCCCTTTTTCCCCATGAGCAGTTTTTCTAGTTTTTCTAGTGTTTGGCAGTTTGGAGGCTTAGGGATGTTCAGGATGGCAAAGCCCAGCTAGAAACATTCATCAGCATGTTTGTGATCCAGAGTGGAGCTATGTGGAGCACTGACCTTGTCAGCTTTTTGCTGGGAAAAGCTCTTATTTTAGCCTGTTACATAACACCTTGAGCTCCAAAGTATTTGCTATAAATCTTCCATTTTATTGCATTTATTTTCCCCCCTCGAAACACATTTTATGGGCTAATTTTGAACATACTTGCTTCTTCATAGGATACATCAAGAATTTGCTCGTGAAAATAACAAAGCAAGCCCTTTCTTTATTTTATTTTTTTAAAAAAGCCCTTTTGCTTTAATGCAGCAATGCAGTAAATCCCTCCTGCAGGCACTGCATGAAGCCAATGATCACATTGCAACTGAGCTGCTGTGTCATCTCCCCTAAGCAGGGAGCTCTGAGTCTCTTTTGTTAAAAAATAAATCAAGAAATGACATGGTGAAGTATGTGCAGAGAAGAATACCTTGTAGAATCAGGGATATATTGTGCCAGGCTTTCTTATAGCAAGATGAGCTTAATTATTCCCTGAAAACTTACAATGTTTTCTTCAGAATAATTAAGCTCATGTTTCTATAAGAAGTGTAAGAGAGTGGAACCTTGCAAATTTTCAGTGAATCACAAACAATGCACCTATATTTATCTGGTCTTCAATGTCCATAGCCCTGAGCTGACTTATTTCTGAGCTGTGCTCTGAACAAGAGTGAAAATTCCACCATCTCCAGGTGGTAGAGGAGAAGCAGAGAAGCAGTTGTAGGGCGGTTCCAGGCTCTCATCCCTGCATGGGGTGCTGGCTGGATTAGCTGAGCAGAAATACAGAAGGAAGAAAAGAAATCAGAGCCTTATATGACTTCTCTTCAGCAAAAGGGAACTGTTGCTACTTTTGGCAAGTTGCAGAGGTCATGCTCCTGGAACGAGGCAGAGTTCAAAGCTTTTAGCAAGACCCTTAGTAGGTATTTTTTACCAGAGGTGGTGCAGCCAATTGAAGATAGCCAGGAAGGGGGAAAGCTCCATTTTTTTTCACTTTTATTGAGTATCTCAGTGTACAGAATAGCTTCCTAAAATCCAGATTTACCTAGGCATATTTGTGTGAGCTGGAATCTGGAGGTTTGAGCTCTGGTTAGGTCAAGCCCCACAGAACAAGGAGTATTTTGCCCGTGGCACATCCTTTGTCTCACTGGTGAGGACGCAGCGTGGCCAGACATGACTTAGGATGGCTAAGCACCAGTGGGGAGGCTAGCCAAAAGCCAGGCAGCTGAGCTAGGCAACACCCTAAGCCACATGGCAAGGCCAGCAGGCTCTTTGGTAATCAATTTTACCATTATTTATAAAAAAACCTGTGTTTTCTGTCCCAGTTTCCTCTGTCGCAGCATCGTGGTGGATGGTGGGGGTCGTGTTGCAGCCTATGACCTCCTAGCAGACACAAAGATACACCTCAAAGCAGCAGCAATTAATTTCCTTCTGGTAAGCATCAGTTTGCTTTTCCCTTTTGTAATACTTCTTCCCTGAGCTGGGTATAGAGAGATTATTTTCTCCCTGTGTTCATGTGCTGCATGGTTGTGTGTGAAATCAGGTCTGTTATGATGCTTGAAGATGTTTATTTATATATCCTCAATGCTGAGGCAAACTTGATCAGTGTCAATGATAAACATAAATTTGCCTTTCTTTCCAACTCCCTTGAGCTTTATTTCAGTTCCCCTCTCTCTTCTACATCTAAACTTTAAAGGAAAAATATCCTGGTAGCTTTTATACTTCATCTTTTTATTTTCCTTATATTTCACTTTTTTTAAATGCTTTTTTTTAAATGGGAGTTTCCTGGGTCTGTTAAAAATTCAGGGGATAAATGCATTGTTGGAACTTTAAAATATTTTGAATAAAAAGCATTCACTGCCCTCTTTTGGCCACCCCAGGAATACATTTTTCTGGACACTGAATTTTCTTCTGTGTTGTTTGTTTTAAGTTTTAAAAAGCCAAGGTGAGTTACACGGTTAAAATCTAGTTGAAACCCAGCTATAAACACAGAGTATTTTACAATTTACAGCCTAAATAAAGGGGAAATGTGGTTCTTGAGGTCAGCTTTCAAGAGAGGCTTTTTAAAACCCAGACTATGTTTTGCACTAACTTCTTAGCTGCTCATGAAACTGAATCCATTTGATGAAATCCCCCTATGCAATTTTTTTAGGTGTATTAACACATGGTGCTGGCTGTCCTACTGCTTAGCAGGCATTTTTATCTCCTTTTTAAGCAATTCACAGCTGAGTTTTGTGAGCTGCACTTAAGTATTTAAAAAAAAAAAAAAGGAATGAGGTCTTGTTGGCTTTTAAAATGAGTTCTGAAACTTTTGAGAGAAGTCCTGGGGTTACTGAAACTCATTCTTACAGACTTCATGTGAGCAAGTTTTTATGCCTGCATCTCAGAAAGCCTGGGGGTTTCCTCAGGGTGCAGAGATCTCTGATATTGCAGATAAGGGCTTTTCCCCTCCCACCTCTGTGTGCTCCTTGCCAACCTTCTGACCCCACAAGCTGGTCTGTCATTCTCATTGCCATACATATTTTAATTTTCATCTATTTAGCTTCTTCTCCTGGTTTTGCTGGGGTAGAATTGTAGGCCAGGCATGGTCTACAGGCCATTAGCAGTTCTGAGCTGATATGGGATGAGTTCTGAGCTGATGGTGTGGGATACACCCAAGCTGGTTCAATGTCATGCTCATTATAAAGGGGGAAGTTTGCTTGAGACAGGGGCTCCTCCTAGTTCTGTTTTCCCTTTTCCTCCTACTTTTCCCCATCCCTAGAGGGGTCTGGCCCTGCTGGTTGTGATATTAACTGTTAATTGTCCTTGTGGTTATTTTTCAGCACAAGGTTTGTATTATACCAGCAGAGGAATTTTCTCCAGAATATGTGGCTCCTAAAGTACAGTGCATAGCTGCTCAGAGGGGTGCCCATGGTGGAAGGTAACTTGCTTGCAATGAGATTTAATTCTTTTGAATGAATCTTTGCTCAGTGACTTCCAGGGGATTTGTAGATCACTTTTGCAAAGTGGTATTTGTAAAAAAAAGCTGAAAAATCTGGGTAGTTAGTTGGATAAAAGCAGGGGACTGAACTTGGCTTCCAAGTGTGCACAGCATTGACTCACAGCTTTAATTCTTATCTTTGCTCAGTGACTTCCAGGGGATTTGTAGATCACTTTTGCAAAGTGGTATTTGTAAAAAAAAAAAGCTGAAAAATCTGAGTAGTAAGTTGGATAAAAGCAGGGGACTGAAGTTGGCTTCCAAGTGTGCACAGCATTGAATCACAGCCTTAATTCTTTGCATAAAACTTTGCATAGTTTACTGTATGTTTATGTTCTGTCATTAAGACCATTATCTGGCAGCATTTTTGCTTTCCTGAGAGTGTTCTGTATTCACCAAGCTGAAAGATGCAGGGTCCTGGCTCACTTTAACAGTGTCAGAAGCAGAAGCTGCACGTAATTCCCCACACAGACCTGGAAAATACATCTCAATTTTGGCCCTGAAACTTACTTGTCATTCCAGTTCTGGGCCTGTCCTGAGCAAAGATTAATCATTGTCTGTTGAATACTTAGGAGAAGTGAGCAAATACTGGCAGGAAACTCCCAACAACATTTTCTCCTGCAGTCTTGGAAAACACTTTTCTCAATTAAATTCTTCAGAATGAAATATAGCAAGGAAGAAATAGTTAAGCACAGCAGTGAATGAATAAAGATGCTTTCAAGGAGCACTGCTATTTATTTTGGCTCAAATTTTACAAATATTTGAGTCTATACTTAGTCCCATTGACCTCAGTGGGGAAACTTGCATGTTTAAAGGCTACACCTATGTAAACATTTGTAGAACTGGGAATATAAGATTAGTGGAGATTCTGGTGGATGTAATTAACTGGATTAAAATTTATTTCTTTTTTTAAATGCTCCTGGTTCCCTTGGGTTACATCTTCTTTAGCAAACTCCTTCCACTGAAACTGTTCAGGTTATGGAAAATTTGAGTGGATAAAATGAGTTAAAGCACATTTTCCTCTTGGTGAGGAAATCTGTACCTCTCGTTTCCATTTGCTTTCTGATCTTTTACACAGAACCCAAAAAGTAACAAGGGCTGCTCTTGCACTATTGATTGTACTACAGAGAAATAAATTGACTTTTCTGAGTTAACTGCTTTTCCTGTTGTGGTGCTTAAGAAATTCTCCTGCCCCCCAGTGTGACTCCTACACCTCTGTGTTTAGTGCAGCGTGCGTTCCCTCCGTGTACCCAACTCCACCAGCAGCTTTGGTTTTGGATGCACTCAAGGCTGGGAAAACTTCTGAAGTGCAGAGACACGTGCTGGAGGATCCACCGAGTGCCCCTTGGCCTCCTGGCTCGGTTAAGGGGGTCACCTTGACACCTTTACAGGTATCTCATGTCTGGAAGCTTTTATTTCCTAAGCCATCAAGGATTTTCTCAGTACAGTTAAAAAGCTGGAACGCTTTCAGAGAACGTGATGTGATCAAAATGTTGCAGAGTGAGTAAGTCATAAAGACAACTGAGGAAGAGAAAACTGCCAGATTCTTTTTAAATTTCACAGCAGTCTGGCAGACTGCAGATGTGTTTGGCGTGCAAACAGTTGTCATGCCACATTCTCTGGAGAGATTTAACTTACTGAGAGCTCCTAAGCCCCCCCTCTTTCATTGCAAGGAGGTGGCAAAGAGCTCATGAACTCAAGAATATTTCACAAATGGAATATCCTCTCAGAGCTGTCCTTGTTCCTGCAGAAGCAGATGACCCTGGGTGGCAGCGTGCCCCACTTGGGCAGATATGTGTTGGTGGCACACTTTTATCAGGCAGCACATCCGACGTTCCCCGTGCGGGTGCAGGTGGAGGCAGGACGTGTGTGGGCTGGTGAGCAGCTGAATCTCCTCTCACCCCTTGCCTTTCTCAGCATCTGGGCATTTCTTTGGCATCACGTTGATGGATTGATTGATTTCTTTCTAAATTTTGGTCCAGGTTCCTTCAATGCTTCGTTCTGCCCTCATACCTCTGGCTGTCGGGAGGAGGTGGTGGCAGAAAGCCAACTAGAGCTGGAGGTTTCTGAACCTGAGGTCTCTGTCACAGTGGTGATACCTGATGGGAGAACCCTGGTTCTGGTATGTCCCTTACCCAAGTGTGCTTGGAACTACTAGATTCTCACTTTCACCATTCGTTTAGCTAGAGATCCAAAGATGAAAGGCAAAGAGAATTTGTCTTTGAATGTTGTCTTTCCAGTTTTTAGGATCTTGTGTGCTTCTGTTTGATTTTAAATCTTAAAGATACTATACACTGGTTTTATTGTGCACTGTAGCATCACAACTCTGGGGGGAAGAGGAGTATATTTTCCTTTTCAGTTAAAATGTTATGGGTTTGAAGAAAATCCAGAACACGTAATGAATCAACATTTAAATATATGAATGCCTTAGCTTTTCTTTTGCTTTTCTCTGGAATGTACAATTTAGCTTTCTTGTTGTTTTAAGGCAAATGTCTTAGTTGTTCCAGCAGACACCTACAGTTACAAAATTCTTGACAAAAAGACAGTGGACAAGTCATTTGACTTTATCAGCCAGTGTGGAGGAAACAGTTTTTATATTGAGTAAGCATCATCCTTTTAAAAGAAACCCCAACTGAACACTGACAACAAGCTGGGAATTAATACTACTTTTCCTCTGAAATACAGATGTATAAAATCTCCATCATTGTGCTCCATTAAATTGCTTTTCGTGGCTGAGGCTGGCCCATTCAATTTCCATGAGTCATTTTTCCATGACTTTCTATGGTCAATGAAATGTAAAGGTAGAGCTTTATTGCTCACAGCCCAAAGGAGGAAAACCCATGTCACCTTTCTGCCTGTAGTGCTTCCATCTTTGGTATTTGGTATTTTGCTTGGCATGCCTGAACTGATACGACTAATACACACATTCTTTGAAAAAAAAATCTCTTACCTGCACGTTTAAAGCTATTCCCCACTAATGTAAAGACTATCTCTGCATGTGTGTCAATACTAATGTCAGGGAACTGCTTGAAAGACAGGACCCTAATTTGCAGGGCTGCTGCAGAGCACACTCCTAACAGTTCCTGTGCCAGCACTTACATCATTTCCATTTCCATAGCCCGGAGAGCTCATCAGCCTTCTGTAAGGACTCTGTGAGGTCACTGGTGGCTTTCTACAACAACGGAGCTCTGCCCTGTGACTGCCACAGTGCGGGTGCCACCAGCCCTACCTGCAGCCCCCTGGGGGGGCAGTGTGTTTGCAGACCCCACGTCATCGGGAGGCGCTGCAGCCGCTGCCAGACTGGCTACTATGGGTTCCCTTTCTGCAAGGGTAAGTCCAGCCTTGGCCTCATTCAGCCCCTTCTGTTGAATCCTCTGGTTTGATTGCATAGCTATTGCAAGCTCCTCTTTGCAGGGCTTGAACCTGTGAGAGGCTGGTTGAGCTAGCTTAGACTTAGCACAGCACAGCTCTCAGTTTAAGGCAGAAGTAACCCCACTCCCTTAGAGCACCTGAGGTGAGGGAGAAGCCTGTCGTTGTGTTGTCTGATCAGCTGTTAAACTGCTTGCAGTTAAACTGGTTAAAATCCACATTGTCCCTCTCTCAGTCAAAGCCATTTTTCTGCGCTGGCTGCTGAATTATTCCCAAGCTATTTCTGCTGTTTATCCCAATTTACACCTTCAAGGTTTTCTATAGATAATCAGGAGATGCAGCATTCTTAATTTCTCATATTCTTATGCTATTCTTATTAACATAAACAGATTTATAGATTACACCAACAGTCCTCAGATGCCTTCCCAGATATTATGCTCAGTGTTTATCAGTGATGCTGTGGAAAAGTGCTGCCCTTAACACCACAACTATTTGTCATTTAATCCGTGGCAGTTCTGGGAAGTGATTAATGATGCCTGTGTTAAGTGAGGCAGCTGATCTATGGAAAAGAGAGCCAGGCACTAAAGCAACTCTTTCAAACTACAATTACAGTCCTATAATTTGATTTCCGTGGCTGTGAGCTTAAAACTAGTGAGAGGGAGAAAAGAACCATGAGCTTTCCACAGAAATGTCCATTTTCCATATGCAAGTTCAATCAGAATTGATCCCTGTCTTGAGATGTTTGATCTGGAGAACATTTTCTTTGACCTAGCGTGCAGCTGTGGGCAGCATCTGTGTGATGATGTGACTGGGAAATGCATATGCCCTCCTCAAACCCTGAAACCAGGCTGTGAGGTGTGTGAGAGGCATCACTTCAGCTACCACCCTCTCGCTGGCTGTGAGAGCTGCAACTGTTCAGAAAGGGGAGTGGTGAAGGGGGAGAGCCCAGAGTGTGAAAAAAACAATGGACAGTGCAAGTAAGTTTGGGTGATGTGCATGGGAAACAGCCCTGGGGTGGTTTGCTTCAGGGTTCTTTGCAGGGGTTGGGAAGGGAAGGGGGAAACTTTGGGGAGTAAGGATTTGAGGTGTGCTTGGCAATAGTGAGGTCTCAGCTGTTTCAGGGAGACCTGCTGTGTTTTAGTGGAAAATTGGCTTGTGCAGGTAACTAATGGTGGGGTTTGGGATTCCTGGGCTTGTGTTCTGCTTGCCAGTGATGTGACATGTCACCAGGTATATGCCTCGTGTGACTTATCCACTGTCAGTGCACAGCAGACCTCAGATGAGAGCTCCTTCTGGACACACGTATCATTTGTAGTGGTGTGCATTGTCTCCCAAATTCTTAAAACTCTGCAGTTCACCTTCCATGATCTGATGTCTGAATTTAAGTCAAATGATGGTTTTAAGTACTGTAAAACTTGAGTGTTTAAAATTTCTCAAAATTAATTTCAGTGATAGCTGCTGTGGGTTTGAAAAATACAGTTAAGTTGGAGCCAATTTCAAGTGATGATGGCAGTTGAAATTATGCCTTCTGTATGCCCTATGCTTGTTGATCTGTAAATCAGCCTGCTGAGATGAGAATAAATTCTTTAGTTTTATTCCTTTATTTACATCCTCTGAAGTAGATGTACAGCCA